CGAGGAAAAGGTGCACCACTGGCGGTAGTCTTCTGTTACACTGTACTGTTTGCAGGCCCAACCTGGTTTAGACAGGGGTACAACTTACTGTAGGAAAGTTAGCAAATCGAAGAGAAGGACTATGTGGGCAAAGCACTTACCACTGGCTGCACCAAGTAACTTGCCCCCACTGCCCTGAGATATCATCTGTTTTGCGGCCGTTGAGTAACAATTGAAGACGCCGTACACTGTGGCTGGTCAGAACCAGGGTATAATATTCTGGACTTGCTGCTATACCGTTGACTTGGAACATTCTGCTCAAGTCGTCCGGCGTTAGGTCAAGCAGTGCTTTCACCTGAGCAATGCCAGCATTTGCGACCATGGTGTTGAGCGGACCCAGCTCTTCAACGGAAGATTTTACTAGACCTTGAACCTCTTTCAAGTTTGATACGTCGGCTGTGTATGCGAATGACTTGCGGCCAAGTTTTTGGATCTCTTTGACCACTTCGTCACATCCAGATTTGTTAGCCTGGATATCATTGATGCAGACATCGTAGCCGTCGTGGGCCATTCGAATAGCAATAGCTTTTCCACTTCTTACATTAATTAGAGTATTTGGATCTTGCAGGTATATCTCACATTCCCCGCGACGAGCCAGTGACGATTGCTGTACGGCTTCGTTGGTCAGTTGCATAGCTGCGTGTCCATCTAGGCATCTGTGATGAAGCTGGTAGATTGCTGAATTTGGGTAGCGCTCGCCATAGGATGCGTGCTGATAGATGAGATGTCATCACGCTTGCGTGTATAGATTGTTAGATTTGTGCAGCTTGTAACGAGGAAGGACTGGCAGCAGTGGGGAAACTGCACATCGCCCGACCCTGACGCTGGTTTGGCTTCTTATGCAAGTTATCCCGGATTCTCAAAGATGAACTCCGCTCCTACAGGCACCACTGGACAACCGGGTGTGCGGAGTAATACATCAGCCCCTCCTGTAGCGCCAGCTTGGTGGTAAACACGAAGCTACATTGGGGTTAATTTGTCCGGGCATGACGTCTTAAAGACATGTGTGCCTAGCAAGAGAGAAGCGGTACCATTCCGCGTCACATCATCCGAGTTCATACGAGTCCACGTCGTTGTTGTTTCGTGGGGGGTGGCGGCGGGGAAGTACTCGGTGGTGTCGCTAGGATACTTGGGGTTAGACTACTTCGCGCGTGTTTGGACGCATGGGTCGATGCGTGGAAAACAGGACCTCAGCACGACAAGTACGTACACCAGGGCCAAGGCCAGGACCAATACAATGTCGCGGCAAAGTATGGCGCCGCAGCGCAATCTGTCGCTCACAGAGGAATTGGAAAAGCTCGAGCAGTCCATCACGCTCACGATGCAAGGTAAACAACCCGCCGACTGCCCCTCGCCCAACGCGACTGACGGCAGCAGAAATCGACCACAACTTCAGCCGAGCGCATCGCATAGTGACGACTGGGATCCTGCCGATAGTCGAGCAGTACGGGAAGCACTCAGAGGCGGTGTGGGAGGGCTCCAAGTTCTGGAAGCAGTTCTTCGAGGCAAGTGCGAACGTGTCGCTGTCGGGCTACGAGGCCCCGGAGCCCGAAGAGTCGCTCGTGCAGGAAGACACGCAGGAATCGCAGCTGTATGATGACGAGACCGAGGAGGATGAGACGGTGACAGGGCAGACGGCAACCCCGCCCAGGCCCGCCTCTGCGCAGGACGACGACGACGCGGAGAGCACCATCACCTTCGATTCGCCCTCGCTGGGCCATAGCACGCCCCGAGCGCCGCCATCTACGACCAAGGGCAAGAGCAAGCATGCGCCCATGGAGAAGGAGCCCAAGTTCGCCGGCCTGTCATCGCCATACGAGGACCTCCGGAAGGAGATGGAGGGGTCCAAGACGCCGGTGCTGGAGCCTGTCACGCCGGGCAAGACGCAATTCTTGCCAGACATGACTGGCCAGCTCGACTCCTCGCCCTTTGTGCAGCCCACGACGGGCAAGAAGGCCCGCTGGGGCCCGGGCTACACAAACGACCCTCTGTTGCATCGCGTGCTGGACAAAACATACCGCGTGCAAGCTACGCCCATTGTCAGTCCACGCAAGTACAAGCCCACCGGAGCATTTACTCCCAGGACTACCGAACGGACTGCGCCAACTCCCGGTGGAGCTACTTCGAGACTGCCGAGATGGACCGACGAAGACTCGTCGCCGCCTTCCTCGCCTGCACCGCAACTGCGCGTCGACATCTTCTCGCCAGCTAAGACGCCTCGAACGCCAGGCATCAGTGTGCAGACACCGGGAAAAGGCAGAGTACCAATGAGCATCAATAGGACAGGCGATATCTTTGACGACAGCGAAGACGAGGAGGAGCATGACCTGGGCTTCAGTCCTCCCAAGACAATTCAATTTCATATCCCACAGAGCAAGCTGCTACAGACCCCTGGTAAGTTGATAGACCCTGCGTGAGATGGCTGGTTGGACCAGGGCTAACAATTGGCAGCACGCGAAGCCAGCAGGCGCATCGTCGACGACCTCCTCATGACCGCAGGTGGGGACATTACAGATTCGACTGGCGGAATGGACGAGGATAGCCCAAGCGTTGTGCGACGGCAGGTGGACTTGGACGACAGCTTTTGAGGCACTGCGATATCTCGCAGCATGTTCTAGACTATGATACCCATAATGCATCTTGTTGTACCTACCGCATCTCGGACGGCTTCAGGCCTAGAATCCCCAGGGTGTGCAGGCACCCTGGCGCAGCGATTCACGGAAAGTGGGTCCGCGCTAACCACAACGGTGATAGCCGCAACGCAGCAACGCATTGCCCGAGCCATGCGACAGCTGTATCGTCATTTAGAGATAATCGCCAGGCTCCTGTTAGGGAGACCACACGTGTCTTTTGACCAAATCTCCGTCTGCACAGCCCCTCAAACGCCGCAATGCCCAAATCGAAACGACCGCCCACCTCTGGCTATGCTCGAATTGCGCAGGCCGAGGAGGAGGAAGACTACAGCGACTCCGAGGATGGACACAACCAGCACTCCCTGTCCACCGCCCAGTATGCACCCATACAGCCCCAGCGGAACTCGCACATGCGCATACCCAACGGCTCTGCTCCCAATTCACCAAGTTCACGACACACATCCTCCGGGCGGCGGCAGCGGAGCAATTCGGGAGTGGATATCAAGGCCATCAACGCGAGATTCGAGCGATGGGCCGATGAGATTGCGCAGAAATTCAAGATCAAGAAGCAAAAGGACGCCCCCAATGATGAGCAGCTTGAAATACACCACTCCGTCTTCCAGGCGCCGGACGGGGTGCGGCCAGCCACAGCAGAGACGTTGACATTTGAATTCGAGGGCGCATCGGACCGCATGACGAAGCTCGAGTTTGACGACACGGTGGAGAGCGTCAGGACAGCAATTGAGCTGGGTGTGCATCCCAAGCTGATCACGCAGGGCAGCTCGGGCAGCTACTTTGCACGCAACACGCAGGGCAAGGTGGTTGGTGTGTTCAAGCCCAAGGACGAGGAGCCGTACGCGTCAAGAAACCCCAAGTGGACCAAGTGGATACATCGCAACCTGTTCCCCTTCTTCTTTGGGCCGCGCCTGCCTCATCCCCAACTTGAGCTACGTCTCCGAAGCGGCCGCATACGTCCTCGACACGCAGCTGCGCACAAACCTCGTCCCCTACACTGACGTTGTTGGCCTCTCGTCCAAGTCCTTTCACTACGACTTCTGGGACAGGAGAGCGTACTACCGGAAGAAGAAGCCGTTTCCCGAGAAGCTAGGCAGTTTCCAAGTGTTTCTCAAAGGCTTCAAGGACGCCAATATCTTCTTGAAAGAGAACCCGTGGCCGGACCAGCACAATGGCGGACTGGCAGCGGGCGGCGCGTCACGGAAGAAAAAGCGACGGTGGGCCGAAGATTGCAGGCCAGGCGGGTCCACAGTCGGACAACGATGATGACGAAGACTACTCAAACGGCACAGGCCAACAGCGGCAGCGAAGAGGCTTCTGGACTGAGGCGCTGCAGCAGTCGTTCAGGGAGCAGCTAGAGCGCCTCGTCATTCTCGACTACATCATGCGCAACACTGATCGAGGCCTGGACAACTGGATGATCAGAATAGACCAGAAGACGCAGGAGGCAACCATTGTGGCTGAGCCGCCCAGGACGAACCTCGGCGTGGGCGACCATGGTGACGAGTCACAGCCAAGCAGCTACACCAGACAATCCATGGAGGAGGTCGATCCTTATGGCCGAAGAGAACCCATGACAGCAACGAGTCGCTCGAACACGCCCATGCAGCATGCAGCAACGCCCACAGTGACTATTGGCGCCATCGACAACAGCCTGTCCTGGCCCTGGAAGCATCCTGATGCTGTAAGTCAGCACCTGATCATGCCAGATTCCCTCAGCTAACACAAGCAGTGGCGAAGCTACCCTTTCGGCTGGCTCTTCCTACCCGTCTCGCTCATTGGCCAGCCTTTCTCCGAGGCCACCCGTCGCCACTTCCTCCCTCTCCTCACGTCTAAACAATGGTGGAGCGAAACGCAGGTCGTGCTCAGGAAATGCTTCAGCCAAGATGCCGACTTCAAGGAGCGCATGTACGCAAAGCAGATCGCCGTCATGAAGGGACAGGCTTGGAACGTGGTAGAGACACTCAAGACGCCCGACCATGGCCCGTTGGAGCTTACAAGGAGGGCGCGTGTGTGCGTCTGGGATGACATTGTGGAGATACCCATTGCAGTGCCTCTGCGCGCACCCTCAGCAGAGATGCGGAGGAAACAGCACATGGGGCGAACACCACGACTAGAAGAGGAGCACGAGGAGATGGACATCACAGCGGTATCTACGCCGCCGCAAAAGCCTCAGACAGACCTTCTCCATTCACCTCCCTTGGAATCGGCCGGCAAAAATCGCTTCAATCTGTCGCGCGACTCCTCATCCCTCGACATCCGACGCCCGGAAGTCGAAGTTCCGACATCGCCAGCCACCGTGAACGGGGTCTCCTGGAATTCTCGCAACACGTTGGAACCGAAGATAGATAGACCGGCGCATCGGTCACGCATGAGTTACGATGCTCCCAGACAAAATCCTCCGGATGCGCGAAAACATCAACGGAGGTTCTCTCTCACACAGCGGCGGGACTTGGACGAGTATGGATTCGACGATGATGGAGATCTTGGATATGCTGCCAACGAAGATAACGAGGGCAACCGGAAAAAGGTCATTGTTGAGAGATTAGAAATGGTCAAGGGAAGGAACCCAGTTTTTACTTGGTGCTGATTGGCGAGGGATCTGTTGCCGTTATTGTGCATCATGTGTTCTGTTATCGTGGTACGTGGGATGGCCCAAGGGACGACTTGCATTGGAGGCGTTTTAAGCGATTTGCATTGCCGTTGGCTGGGTTGCATACGGCGCATCATCTTGGATCTGGTGTAACACCACAACACTTATGTAGCATCAAAGATAAGGACACAATAGAGTCGGGAGCAATTCTGCAGACCTTTACAGAGTAGTTTGTAGCACAAAAGCGCAAGCTGGTCACCTGCTATAGACCTTGCTTGCGCGCCTCTTTGCGTTTCTCCATGCGTCCCGAACACCTCGAACATTTGCCGCGCGGAAGCTTTGTAGTGTCAGATGACCCCACTAGCAACTTTGACCAGGACTACCACGAGCATGAAAGGCAGCAACGCCATCTCAACCAACGCGCATCGCGCTCCCAACTTCTCCTCTCATTCCCTCGAAGCGCACATGTTGTTCTGCGGTGCAGACGGTCCCTTACGTCGCGAGATTCGACGCCTACCTTCACTTACACGACCACCCGATACCTGCTAAAAGCCTGGTGAACGCGCTGTCACGCGCCGGATCAGGCCTCCTACCCGCAATTGAACATCATTAGTCTGGGACATCCCAGCCGAGCAGCACAGCAAGAGTCAGTTGTTGGAAGATAGCACGTGTTCGAAGGCTGCCGCCAGGGCCTGTGGCAACGAGCAGTACTATCGCTTGGCGCTTGACACCAAATGCGAGAAGTCGTGTAGTCCAACGTTGACGTGTTGTAAGGATATTTAGAAAGTGATTGACTGAGCACGTATTTCGAAGTTCGACGAGCGCCTCTCACCTGCGATAATCACATCTGCAATTTTTGCGGCATGAACCCAGCGCTATTACTTGACCCGCGAGGGGCACGTAAAAGAGGTACATAATCTTCCTTTCTTTGCCCAACTCTCCTCCACTCTATTTTCTCCAAGAAGCAAGGACCAGAGTCGTCCATCGTTTCTGGTTTTCCCACGCCATGGAAGCTTTCATTCCTGACGTCCACATGGCCGACAGCCCGCGTGCAAGAACACCAATCAACCCGTCTGCGGTTCTGTACGAGCTGGCAGATGCTCGATCCGGCCTCCCCGCCGAGGTCGGCAATACGGACCTCGATTTCGTGCCCGGTGTTGCTTTCGATGCCATGGGAAACGGAGAGCTAACGGGCGATTTGCCAGGTGACGCGGACCGCGTCAATAACAACAACAACAATGTTGCACCCACTCCACAATTCAGCCCGACCGCTCTACTCAACCCGCGATCACTCGCATCAAAACGCCCCGCATCATCTGGTAGCGACCTTGACCGCGGGCGTAGCGATCCCACCATCGCTGGCCAAATCTCACTCGTTGAGCGGTTGCACAACGTCCAGGAGCGCACAGCTTCACCAGCGAAGCGAATCAAGACTGACGAGGACCGCAAAAAGTCTACGCATCGCCAAGGATTTAACGGTGGCAGCAGTCTCGAGTTACAAAAGACAAGTAGTCAAGCACCCTCGCAGACAGGACCGTCAATCGACTTAACAATGAGTAAACACTTCACCCCTAATGCACAATAACTAGGCTGACGCAGATTTAGGCGATGATGATGATGTTCAGTTAGTCGGAGACAATATGGAGGAGCTCATATGTGTCGGCAAAGTCAAGCACACCTACGTCCAGGCCCACACCGTTCCTTATCCCGACCCAAAGAAGTACCTCGGCAACAGTGGTCAGCAAGGCCGAATCAAGGTCTCATTCCGTCGAGCTGGAAACAATCGTAACAATCTCAATATCATGGTCACCGATCCCACCGGCAGAGAATTCGGTAGAGTCGACATGAAGTCGTCAACTGGATTGTGTCCATTGATAGATGGAGCGAAGGCCAATGGACTGATGTGGATGGCTTGGACCGATATTCGACGAAAACAAGCTGGCGAGGGTCCTCCAGGCTCACCCTTCTCAGGGCTCATCAGCATGACGCTCCAGTTGTACTGTAAGCGGAAGTGGGCCCATGATATCGGCAAGTTCCTTAAGGGCAAGAACATTCAGCTGCTACGACCCGTTTTCGAGCTCCAGCGCTATGACTACTACAACCCACAAGATGGCGACTCCCTTACACGGATCCAAGCGATAGATCCTAGCTTTCAGACCGATCAGTTCACCCAGCAAGGACCAACACCTGGAGCACCAGGCAGTAACTACGTCTTGCGAAGCGTCGATGAGATCCGGGCTGACGTTGCCGACGTTTTCGATACGGTTGTCAGTAAATCGGATGAAGTACCTACGCGAGAGCCGTCTAGTCACATCAAGACAGAGCTGTATCCGCATCAGAAGCAAGCCCTCTATTTCATGTGGGATAAGGAGCAGGACCATAGCGCGGAAGAGCACGACCAGCGCAAGGACACTCTCTGGGCGCCGAAGCTTCGCGACAATGGTCGTAAGTTCTATCGTCACGTCATCACCGGCGAGGAGCTTGATGTGAAGCCTCAAGCTTGCCGCGGCGGTATTCTTGCCGATGAAATGGGGCTGGGTAAGACCCTAAGTATACTGTCGCTGGTGGCTGACGACGACTCTATCAAGGCTGCTAATGATTTTGCCACCAAAAAGCCACCTCCAGTGCCCCCGCAGTCCAAGATGATCCAACCTCTTGTTAATAGCAAAGCGACGCTCCTTGTCTGTCCACTCAGTACTATGACCAACTGGAAGGAGCAGATGAAGGAGCATTTCCCTGCCGGAAGCGGGTTAAAGTGGACACGCTATCATGGATCTGAGCGTTTCAACATGAGTTCGAAAGATCTTGCGAAGTACGACATCGTTGTCACGACCTACCACATCATCCAGAAGGATATCAACGATCGGAAGCGCCCTCTACCGTACATAAACTGGTTTCGCATTGTGCTTGATGAAGCTCACACTATCCGCAACCCTACAGCGCAGTCACGAGCCACCTGTGTGCTGTTCGGGCAGCGCCGGTGGGCGGTGACTGGAACACCCGTACAGAATCGACTCGAAGATCTTGGTGCGCTGTTCAACTTCATCAAGTTGAGTCCCTTCAACACCCAGCAAGGCTTCAATCAGTATGTCGTGCATCCCTTTAAGAACGCCGATCCCGATGTTGTACCCAAGCTGCAATTGCTTGTGAGTACAGTCACCATGCGGCGCACTAAGGAGATCATTAAAGACGAAGTCCCTAAGCGCAACGACATAATCGTCAAGTTAGAGTTCTCAAAAGAAGAGCGTCAACTACACGACTGGTTCGAAAAGGATACTCAACGCAAGGTTAACATCGCCACCTCTGGCGACAAGATGGGCGGGAACACATATGCTCGGATTTTGACGGCGATTCTCAACATGCGGCTGATATGCGCTCACGGCCGTGACCTCCTAAGCGATGATGCTCTTAAGACGACTGATGGCATGACGTATGATAACCCCATGGAGATAGGAGAAGATGAAGGCGAGGCACCAGCCCTCACGCGCTCGCAAGCTTACGACATGCTCGATCTTCTCAATCAGACGGACAACGATGAATGCGTCTTCTGTGGACAGGGCCCTGGCACGAAGCACTCGATTCTAGCGGTCGACAGTGACGACGAGGACGAGGATGGTGATGTCTCTGACACCATTGGATTCATGACTACCTGCTATCACATTGTATGCCCGAAGCATCTGAAAAAGCTGAAGCAGCAGTGGGCAGAGACTTTGATGGCCGATGGTCGCATCCAATGCCAGATTTGCGAAGACAGAAACAATCCGACGACATTCGAGCTCAAGCGGAGCGACTTTCGCAACTTTCAGGACGAGCGAGAGCGCATCCGCGGCGATCCTAAATTGGCGAAGAAGATTGGCAGCTATAACGGCCCACACACAAAAACACGAGCCCTCCTCAATGACTTGGAGGAACATAGGGCATGGAGTATCGCACACCCAACTGAGCGACCGATCAAGAGGTAAGATTCTGAGTGTACTCTTGACGCTTGTCTGGAGGGAAACATGGCGTATGACCATCATCTAATTATCAACAGTGTCGTTTTTTCCTGCTGGACCACACATCTCGATCTCATCGAACTTGCGCTCAAGGACCATCAACACCGCTACTGCCGTCTCGATGGCCGCATGTCTCGTCAAAACCGAGACGAGTCTATGCGCGTCTTCCGTGAGGACCCTACCATCATTGTCATGCTCGTGTCCATTGGCGCGGGCGGTCTAGGTCTTAACTTAACCACCGCCAACAAAGTCTTTATGATGGAGCCGCAGTTCAACCCCGCAGCGGAAGCTCAGGCAGTTGATCGGGTGCATCGTTTAGGCCAGGATAGGGAAGTCATGATCAAGCGGTTCATCATGGACAACAGCTTCGAAGAGAAGATGGTCGAGCTGCAGCAAAAGAAGAAGAAGTTGGCCGACCTCACCCTTGCTAGGCAGCGTCTCAGCAAGGAGGAGCAGACAAAGCAGCGTTTAGAGGAGCTGAGAAGTCTGTTCCGCTGAAGTGGCTAAGGACGGACGGGAGGCTATGCCGGCTTGTGACGTCTTGAAGAGGCAGCAGGCAGGCTTGGAACCGGATAGAGCGGCGGAAGGATCTGTTTCCCGCTGGGTATTTTTTGCATTCCTGAACTTGATAGGCGCTATCTGAGCAGTCAGATGGGATGGGTACATGCTTCATGTGCCATGCGACAGCGGCATATAAACCGACATTCCAGTCTTAGCATCTCCATCACAGCGCACCTTGGTATCATAGAAGGAAATTTGAACTTTGAGCTCCAGCAATGGCGTTGCGCCGTTTGACTGTGTGAATCTCCTCATCTTTCAGTCTATCACCTGAAGTCCAAGTAGATCATACCCCTTTGCAGCAGAATCTGCCACGCGCATCACATGTCGAGCCCATGATAACTTTGTGGCCGAGCGGACCAGCTTCCGCCGCGCCACGAGTTTTACTTGGCGCACGACGATGCTGGTCCATCTAATCCCATGCACATCGTTCAAGGTAATTCAAAATAAGCTTTCCTCCCTTCTTGACACGGAGGAAGTGGAGGAGGAAGGGGCGGGTATATGTACGAGTCGTCACTCGCAGCGCGTAGCTCGCAGCTGATCCGTTCTTTCCTGCATTTTTCCCAACGACTATATCCCCGATTGATTCTGTCGACCTGAGGATGTTTGGTACGAAAAGACGACACGAGATCCTAGTTGTGTGCTTGGTGAAAGCCCAAGAGACCACGTTGCATTTACATGGTTAAGAGCATGGATTCCAATCGAAAACGAGCTGTGAAGGCACATTTGTGTACTGGAGAAAGAGCTGTGCCTTATATGGATGCTTATGGGGACTATTGGTGTCAGGTTTGCGGCGGAGTTGCTTCGCCCTCAAGCGCTGAACTCTACGGAGACCATTCACAAGCACGTCTCGATGCAACAACATGTCCAACCACTCCTCTAAATCTCCAAAGAGTATCGTCAATACAGAGCTATGCTGGAATGCCGAGTGGTGTGTGTAGCTTTGTTTATGCTCGCAGTCGGTATTCAACCTGCCTTCCTTGTCAACCGTCTGAGTCGTGTCCCGAATCATGGTGAGTTTAATCGCTCGCCCTTCTGCACAAAGACTGACTATTGTTGCATCGAAGAAGCTCATGCTTTTGGTTCTACATCCACATCCTCTCGCAGGACTTACGTACCGCGTGGTTGCCAAAGCCGTGCGCAACTCTTCTACCATTCGAAATCACGCGAAGCTCGAATTGTCTTCCCACCAAATATTCATTGATACTACGATCCGCCTAGAAAGCATGCGGCATACAGTGTGCTCTTGGGAGTCCTACGGAACGTGTATATGTGTTTCGAAAACGGGTAATCGGCAAGTCGGGCGGGCGGATGGCGGGCGGCTAACCATTGGCGGGCAACGGTTGCAGCTCCCCGAGGTCCCAGTCGACACCAAAATACAACCCGAATGACACGTCGAAGAGCTTTGCTACCAGAACCACAAACGGGACAAGGAGAAGCGGATGCAAGTGAGAAATGTCATTAGAGGTTTATGGATGCTTCAATGAGCGTCTATGAAAGGCTGTTCCCAATCTCGCTTCGTAGCTAACGTTACAACAGATCAAGCCTTTTCTAGCCCTCGAAACAACTTGGGAATCAAAATAAGCAAAGAGTCAACGCGCACAAAACGAAGGGTACTTAAGTGACGTAGATGAAATCGGGCCTCTTATCTCCAAGGACCTCGACCTCAGACTCAGTCTTGCCTTGCAGCAGATCATCGCGTGCGCCGGATTTCCTCAGCTTGTTCTCGCGCTTGAGCATAAAGTGCATGAAGACAGTTCCACCGAAAAGGAAGAGGAACATGTATGCGAGGACAATGCCGTGGCCAGTGTAGTAGCGAGGCTTCTCCTTGGTCATGTAGATATTGGACGACACAACGCCGTTCATGTTACCCCAGCCAACAACCACGCCGACCATGACACCTCGCTTCAGCGAGCCCTCGACGTTGTTGGAGGCCCAAGTCAAAGTGTTGGAAACAGTCGGGTAGATGCCCATGGCACCGAGGAAAGTACCGGCGTACTGCACGTGTGGGTTGTCGGTGGCCAGCAACATGGCGAAACCAATGCATCCAATGAAGGAGATAACCATGTTGCAGTAGCCACGCCACTTGGTCTTGTCCGCAATCCAGCCGATGATGACAGTTACGGTGGCAGCCACGGCGTAGGGAGGAACGGACAAGAGCTGGGCTTGGGTACCCTTGTAGCCCATAGCAAGGAGAATTGTGGGGAGGAAGAGCGAGAAGCAGTACAGGGGGCAGAGGCATCCCATGTAGCACACAGCGTAGCCCCAGGTCTTCCAGTCAGTCAGGGCAGCGTTGACGTGCCTGCGGTCAATCTTTCCAACGGTTGCGCGGGCTTGGCCATCGGCACGGAGACGGCGCATAGCTCGGAGCTTCTCTTCAGGAGTCAAAAAGGTGGCAGTGTCGGGGAAGTCGAAAACCATCCACCAGCAGAAAACGCCAACAAAAACGGTCATCAAACCCTCAATGATGAAGATCCATCGCCAGCTTTCACACTCGTCAGTTGGTGAGCAAAGAGAGCAGGGGGGAAATAGGCTCACCCTTCGTAGCCAGCAGTGCCGTCCATCTGGGTGATGGCGGCGGCCAAAAGACCACCGAACGAACCAGCCAGGGCAGCTGCAGAGAAGAAAAGTGCTGCACGGAATCCCAGTTCCTGACGCTTGTACCAGCAACTGCATTTTGATTAGCGATTGGCGCGGGGTGGGGAAGGTGGCGCAAGGGTGCTTACGAGAGGTAGTAGTTGACGCCAGGGAAGAGACCGGCTTCGGCGATACCAAGGAAGAAACGGCAGGCGTACAAGCCGGCCTTGTTGTGGACCACACCCATGAGGGTCATGATGGCGCCCCACACGAGGATGATGCCGGTGAAGAAGACACGAGGGGACCAGCGCTTGATGGCGATATTGGTGAGCGGCTCAAATCCGGCGTAGGAAATGAAGAAGATGGTCAGTGCAACATTGTAGTCTGTGCCCTTCATGTCGAGCGACTTCTCCATGTTGGCGACACGGGCATTGCCAATGTTGGTGCGGTCGAGGAAGGACAAGAGATAGAGCAGCGACAGCCAGGGGATCAGCCACAGATCCATTTTCCTGACAAGGGCTTTGTCCTGTGCGGGGTCAGTTGGGGTCGACAACAGCAGCATGTGACGAGGAGGTAAGGGCATACCAGTTGTGCGCGCTCTGCATCAGTCTTGCCAACATCAGGGTCGGGCAGGTCGCCGTCATAGTCGCCTGGCGAGCTGATCTGCGAGCTGGAGACGTCGCTGGCCATGACGGTGGCCTTCTCATTGGGAGTCAGGTGACCCTGAGGCTGGACAGCCTCCAGGCCAGAGTGGTCGTGGTTAGCAGCCATGGTGCAGTGACAGGCGGACAGGAGTTGGACGAGGACAAAGTCAGGCGCGGGCACAGCAACAGCGGCAGGCGGATGTCCCTATATGTACCCCGGGCGCATCTGTGGGTGGAGGTGTCGGTGTCGGCGTCGGTGTGGCTGCAAACGAGATGGACCGTCCCCAATCCCGCCTCCAGGGTGAGTGAGACAAATAGCCAGGACGACTAGCGCGCGCCGAAATCCCCATGGGGCGGTCGGATGGGACAAGCAGACAAGCAGAGTGGGCCCGTTTTGCTGTGCTTGGCTCGTCGCCGCCAGCAGCGCAGTGTGCAGCGCAGTGTGCAGTGTGCAGCGCGCAGCATCGCCTTGGGAGCTTGTTCTATTTTTCCACGACGCCCATAGCGGCCTCTATTGGCTGCTGTACCACGTTGCCCAACGCTGGCTGCACTCGGAACCCTCTCTCGTCGCGTCCGTCTTTGTGCGCCCTCGAGCGTCCCAGCACTGCAACCCCAGGACAATGGTAACATGGCAGATTGGGTTTCAGCCTCCCACTCTGCCATTCCATCCCCTCCCGTCCTATCCCACCCCATCGCTTCCTTTCACCGGGGCCTCTGCGGCCCTTCCAGACGACCATGCCAGCCGCTGCCTAAAGTGCCCCTCTCGCTCCGGGCCAAGAGCGTGCTTCAGGAAAAGCACTGCGTTCCAGAACACCTGGGGCGCCGCAGATACGAAGCGCTGGGCACGGCGTCTTGCGGCCATCCACGCATCGTGGAATACGCCACCCAAGCCCTTGGCACAACGCCCTCTCGCGGAACGGCATGCAGAGGTGCAGCATCCTCCTCCACATCCTCCTTCAACCGGCAGCACGCAAGCTTTCGTGGTTGCGCCCGCGGCTGTGTGCAACGAGCCGCCCCATGTCACCACCGCTCTGCTCGCTCTGCGCCGTACAGTCTGTCATGTTTCGGCTGGTCGCAGTCTGTACGCGGCGGCGGAGAGCTGTTTCCATCCCTCCCGTCCGCTCCGCTGCCCTCCAGTCTGGGGATTTATCATCACGCGCGGGGTAGACGCTTGGCCCCCCGGCCTGGGGAGCCTCCCGAGGTCGATTGCGCTTCCACCACCTGCGCTGCCAACTCCCGCCAGCCCTCTCCGGCTCATTTGCACCAGCGCGCTGACAGCGCCCAGACTCTTCGCGTCTCTTCGCGTCTCTTCGCGTCGGGTAAAAGGAGCTGCTGTTTGCCCTGCAATTCGTCGCATGCCGACCATGGCGTCTGCATCCGCCCAACGCGCTCGTCCCTTCCTTTCTTCCGTGCGCCCCTGCGCTTGCAGGACCCTTACCTCGCCCCAGCTGCACTGTGCTACTGAAATTGCCGTCCACCGCTATGTGCGACGACCTGTCGACCTGGATTGCGGATTCGCTGCCTCTCCGCACGTGGCTAACCTGTGTCGTAACTCGGTTTCTGGCTGCCCCGGATACCGCAAACCAAGCCCCCTCCAAGCCTGCCCAGGAACACCACCAAGATCCGCCATGTGCCGGTCGCGTGGCCCTCAGATCTCTGCAACTGTCCCATCAGCCGACGTTGACGATAGACGTTAGCCGCCTCGATTATGCGCGCTGCATGGTCATCTCCGAGCGCTATCGAATGCTTTCTGCACCCATGTCCAGTTTGCCGGCCAATCGCCTTTGACACAGTCAGAATATGCCAACACGAACTGTGCCGCAATATCGACAAGATTGAGCCCCATTACAAGGCCGCACCTTCGTCCCCTTCAGATGCGGACTATTCGTTCTACGCGACGCCGATTCATTTCTTTTTTGTCATTACATTTGTTCGCTACCAGACATGCAGCTCTCTATCGACTACGCCACCGTTCTGGCCTCCGTCTATGCGCACACATCCACCCGAGCTACCGAAGGATCATGATCCGATACCTGCGCAGCAAACTCCGGCCACGTATTGACATGAACGTGCTCGTATTTGATCTTCTTCGCAACCGAGTCTGACACAAACATGTGATCAAGCTGTTGCGCATTCATATCGAATAAATATGTGTAGCGCTCGAGCTCGTCAATCTTATCTGCGGCATCTGCGTCCCGAAGCCCTGAGATCTGAACATACTGCTTCAGAGGCTCGACAAACGTAAACTAATCGGATCAGCACAGGCATTGTACATGCACTCTCCCAAAGGTTACATACCTCGTTAAAGTCGCCAGCCGTAATGACACGTGCGTTTTTGTCCTTGGATAGTATGTTCTACACGTCACACACATCAGCTACGCTCTACATGTTTCAGACCTTGACACAAACGCTTTGTTTGTGGCCGAATGGTCTTCCTTGTACTACGTTTACAAACTTGTGGGCGGCCTCCCACCCGATGCAGCCGACACCTGCTCGCATCCACCTCTAGAGAGGAACGTACCTTAACGAAATTAGCCGTGATCACGCTTTGGTCGATGCGGTCCTGTACGCCTCCATTTACAGGTGGTCGCGCGTCGCCATGGAGACTACTGCTACCACCCTTGGATCCGAAATGTACATTTACTGTGAAGAATGTGTCTTCCTTTCTGTTAGAGCTCTTGCTGCTTATGACCTCCCACTGCGCAACGAGGGGCTTGCGACTCGCAGTCCACGCTTCGTTGGCAGGATCGATGCGGCCCGGATTGTACTTCAAGGTGGGGCCATCCAGAACTTCATTTGCGTCTAGAGATCCGCCTGGGTTGGGCTTATACAGTCGGATGAGCGAAGGTTTGTACAAGTATGCCGTGCGGATGTTTCCGCCGGGTTGACCACCGTCTTGGTCGTCAACGGGGACAACATCGGTAAACGAGTATTGCGGTCCGCCTGCAGCGCGGATGGCAGCCGAGAGTGTGCTGAGAGTCAGGTTCGCCGATACAACTGCAAGGGGTCAGCACGTTCGGAACGCGGCTAACAACATCACAGACACAGGCATGTACCAATGCGCGTCATCGCCATTTTGGTCGCACAACTCCCTCGCATATATGCCGCGCCGATGCCGTCATTACTCTCTGGAAGCACTCACCTGCGTCGTTTGTAGGACCGTTGTCATCCTGCACCTCCTGAATGAAGATGATGTCAGGCGATCTCAGGTAGTCGACAATGTGACCCGCCAGTAGCGGATGATGTGACGAGTTTGCCGCTAAATTTTCAACGTTGTACGCCCCAATTGTGATGCCTTCGCACCTGCCCTTTGATTCGAGCTTAGTAGGTTTGGGCAAAGCAGGCTTTTGCGATTTGAGAATCTTAATGGCCGTGCTTGGTAGTATGCGATAGAAACCAAAAGCATACGTGACAACGCCGGTAATCTCTTCAATTTCATCTCCCATCTTGGTGATAGTCGGATTCTTCGTACCATCCAGAGGTGTGCCGATGATGATGGCTTCAGGGTTCGCGTCCCTGTCCGTCATGGTGAGCCCATTGCGGTTATTCTTGCCGGTGAGTTTCCAGTTTCCAGCAATCCAAGTGTCGCCGAATTGGGACGGCTTTGTCAGCGCAACAGGCTTCTTTACTGTGACGAGTTCGCCGCTCAAGCTCTCCCAGAAATCCAGGCCATACTTGCGTGGCTCAAGAGCCGGGTTTGCGACACTAACAAGTGTCTTGTTGTTGGGCACCGCGAAGACATCGCCGCCATCGAGACTGCTATATTCCTGTGTAGGTGGATCGCGCGTGTCTTCGCCAATAACAAGAGCCGCAACTTTGTTTCCACTGCTGACCTTACGCGTGAGTGTTGGTCGGTCAATTTCAGTCAGGTACAAGTAGTCCTTGTTAGTCCGGAATTCGGTAACGCGGCCACCGATGATAATACTGTCGCCCACTGTCAAGTTTGCACCGAACGTGCGGCCGAAAACATAGACCGACTCGGACGTGCGTTCGTCGCGATCGGGAGACGTGCTTCGTAGCCAGAGGCCATCGGGGCCTTTGGCAGTTACAATGCCGGAGATGTTGGCAACACTCTGGCCATTGAAAGGGGAGAGGAACTTGGGTCCGTTGATTTCAGCGATGGAAATGGCAGATGTGGTCGCTGCGAGGGCCAGGAGGCGGAACATTGCGGCCATCGTAGGACACGAGATTCGAGCTGCTGCTGGTAATCACCACAGTCAGTCTGTTCGTTGCTTATGTACCTATGTGCTACTCCCAGATTCTCAATCTCGAACAGGATCCAGGATACTGGCATCGCAGATCGACGGCCACCAGTCCTGTTCCTAACAAATGCATCTTAATCCATGTACATGATGGATACCAAGCCCATGCATTGCCTATCACAGCAGGACAGGTGAGGTCCAAGACCATCGCATCATCTTGGCATCTTACACCTGCGCCATGCACATGTACGCTGATTCGCTGACCCTCGCCTATAAGAGGCAAGCAAGGTCCGCAGCTTTTAGCTGCATTCGGAAGGTCCTTTTCAGCACGGAGATTCGAAAGCAAAGGCGGCGAAAACCGAGGGCAAGGAGGACACTTCCTATCAATCACATCTATAGCGACGCACACGTGCCGCGGAAAGACGGGAGATCAGTTATTGTGGCGGAATGTGCCAAGATAAAAGCATCTAGCGAATGGGAAGGAAGCACGTGGGCTAGGAACGAAGCGGCTCCGGGATTAACCGTTCCCTGGTATCCATGACATGCTGCCTTCCAAGGTTCTTCGTACTCGTTTTTCCCCTTTGTACAGATTACGACAGAACACTTTGATGGCACTGTCGGCGGTATCACGTTGCAGCGTATAAGACGAGCGAACTGGCTCAGTGTCCATTCTCAGCACTTCAAATCAGCTAAAAATCGGTGTGTCAATATTGCAAGGCTGATACTAGTCATAGACAGATACCTAGTAAAAGCCCAGCTGCTGGCGGTATCGGTGTCAAGATTTGCTGGTTACGAATATCAAACTCCACCCATTGACATCGACATCTGCTTCAACCACTCAGAGAGCCACCTGCACCAGATCCTTTCCTAGACTCGAAAGTATTGCGATTCCATATGGAATCATACCTTGAGCGGATCTTCTTGAGAAACTGCTCGTTCTGCGTATCCGTCTCTGAACTGCGACGCTTCCGATTGTCTAGAGCACCTCTCTCGTCGCAGTTCTCGTCGTCGCTGGCTACTTCCGTTACTTCCCACTCCACGATTTGTAGTCCAGATAGTGGCGATGGCCGATATGAAGAGCGATTAGACAGCGCTGGCCGGCCTGTGGAGGCCGTCCGAGGTGATGGCGAGTCTAGCACTGCATGTCTATACCCTGGCCCACGAGTCGGTTGCGGATGTGCCAGCTGTGACGTTGATCTGGCCCGGCTTCCCAATGTCCCATGATCTCCTCCCATGTCAACGTCTTCACCAGCCGCAGCCGTGTCTACCCACGACTCCACCAGTGACGATCCTCTGCGCGCTACTCCGCCCCATGCAACTGGGCTTGCAAATCGAGACTGTGGGACTATTCCAGCCTCGTCAATGCCATTTCTCACGATGTTCAGACGCTCGGTAAGCTCCGTTAAGTTGCCTAAAGTCTCGCCAGCATCGTTCGAGAGTGCTGGTGACGGATTTGGCTGAACGGGACTGTTGAAGACAAGACGGCGACCCACCAGTATTGAAGGCGGCCATGTTTGAGCAACCGAATCGACTGAATATGTTCGGGGAGGCACATTTGTTTGTCGCTCAGTACGTGGTGGTGGCGGGGGTGGCGGAAGTTCACCTTCGTCGGGAGCCCTGTTGCTGTCGAGAGCGTCATAATTGTCAATCAGCGCACTGGATACCGGTTCTGGTGTAATCTGAGCGGTTTCCGAACGCGATGAGGCTGTAACACGCGCCGACATGACAACAAGACTAAGGCGGTCGGCCAAACAGTCACGCTTTGTGTCGCACGATTCCTTGGAGTCTTCGATCACATCGGGATGATATTGTGTCTTGGCACGTACCTCAGGGGAGAAATGGCTGCTTGTCACCACCGGCTTGTTCAATGTTCTTATCTTCCCATGCGGCAGTCTTGATGTGTCCAATATGAGCTCTTCATTGGCCTGGTTCGGGAGCCCGTTCAATGAGTCGAGGCTCGAGGATTTGCTGCTCTGTAGAATGTCTGTTTCCAAAGGCTCAAATATCTGCGTTGAGGATGGCCGTGGACCTTCCACTTGCCCTGAAGGTGCATACCGTCTCACGATCGCCTTCCTGTCTGCTGTTCTTTTCCTCGCAGCAACAGCTATAGATCGAAATTCGTCGGACTCCACCCGACCTCCATGTTCGGGACTGGGTAGCTCAAGGTCGTCCATATTTGCTGTGTCATGTTCAACAGTGTCTCTAGGGCGATCCCACGGTTCGAGCAAAATTCGGGCCTCGTGCGGGTCAAGAAAGATATCTCGAGCATAAAGATCTTCGTGCGAACACCCCGAGGAGGCGTCGCTACGACCACTCGCGTTTAGTGGGCCATCACTTCGGGCGTCGGTGCCCTCGCATTGGTCGTCGTTGGCATATATGGTGCCCTGAGGAGAAATTTCCGCAGTGCTGCCATCCTAAGAGCTTTCACCGGAAGAGCTTTCGTCGCCAGTTCCATCGCTTTGGTCCACGTGATCCGGATGTGGGACGTTCTCAAAAGTCATGATGAATATTTGGGGTGAATGAAGTGCTTCGCACGATGTATTCCTGCGGTCTTGGCAAGCAACAATCGACGCGACACGTGAACTGTGGAGCGCGTAGCGCTGGCGAAGCTATCAAAAAGATACCGATTTCGAAGTTGGCGGTAGAAAGAATCGCTTCGGAATAGGACATGCAATGGTCGACTAAGCGAAGGTATCATGCAGCGCGTGGAATCATCAATGGTGAAGTTGACATATATGGGAGGCGTAGGCGATCAGAAAGTCACGAACAGGTCAACGATCAAGGGCAGTTACTCAATTCGGTTGGTCTGCGGCTTCCTACACGTGAGTACACTTTCCCAACTTGTGCGTATGTGGAGTGCTTGCTAGTGACCTCGTATTAGCCTCAATTTGTTGCCGTTAACTCGATGAACAGGGGCCGAGTTTTGTCAATACTAGTCCAACGGCTGAGGAACCCCCACATCTAGTTGTCCTAGTCTGCCTCTTGTCTCTCAATCTTTGCGTCGGGAGGTCTAGCCGTATACCGCATGATATGCTGAGCTTCTGCGAATCCTGGTTCCTGGGTTTCTCCTCGAACCACATATTCGTCGTGTACCTGGCCGTTAGTCTACGGCATAATTCTTTCTGCTCCTTCTCCCGGCCGTCGTTGCACCCGGTAGCACAAGTCTGAGGAGGCCTGAAGCGCGCAAAAAACTTCAATGACGAGGTCAAGCATTGTTCGCCTTTTCCTAGTCCAGAGGGATGTGGACGGGCTGCCATGCATCAGCCATTTCCTCAGCCAAAACATGCCCCGCCTCGCTCTCAGCTCTTTCTTCCATGACTATTTCCCCGAATCATATCGATCTATATTCAGCATGCGCATGTTCAGCGGAATCTACTGTCCATGTGCTGGTCCAGCAAGCGTGCCGAGCCCTAGGATACCTGCCTCTTTGAGAGCCGATGCTCTGTTTGGCAAGGTGAAGCCGGAACATCGCCCCGACCTGACAGCCTTTGCGGGGCTCCGCAATAGCACGCAATTTCGACGGTGCCGGATAGATTAACCCGTCGCATCTAAGGAAGAAAGACTCTCGAGGCACCGTTCTAGTTTCTGAGCTAGTGCGCAGCTACTGCACCATGGTGAGTTTCGAAACAAGGATGGTCTGTGCTATATAGTCAAGTCTAACACGGCGACCAATAGGACGGCCAAAGCAGTACCGCTACCGTCGGCTTCATCACCTTGAGCACTAAGATCTGCATTGAGGCTCTTCTGATCTTGCTGTCGGGTATATTGAAGGGTCCAATCACGCTGTATCACAATTTGACTGCTTCAATCAGCGCAGATATGTATAAGATGCCGTGCAACTCACATTGCCACCTGTGCAACAATCCGTCTTGCCCTGAGATTCTTGTCCGTCCTTGCTATGGCTTCACACGTTTTCCTTGCCGCTACCTTGATAGCTCTGGCATCTGCGCAAACACCCGGAACATCGCCCGAGGTACATCCGAAGCTCACGACCTGGGAATGCACCACCGCCGCGGGATGTACCCCAAGGAATAACGCTATCGTGCTTGAATCGTCAATGCATTTGATCCATCAGAAAAACAGCACAAGCCTTGGCTGCGTCCAGGGAACCACCCCTGACCCAGCGATATGCCCAGATGAGGAGACGTGTGCTCAGAATTGCATCATGGAAGGCATCTCAGACTACACCCAGTACGGTGTGACTACCTCTGGCGATAGCATGCGTCTAGACTTATTCGGACCATCGGGTCAATACATAAGTCCTAGGGTCTATCTACTCGACGAAGACGAGAAGAATTACGAGATGTTGCAATTGACTGGAAAGGAGTTCACATTTGACGTCGATGTCTCGAGACTTCCTTGCGGTATGAATGGTGCATTATACCTATCGGAAATGAAAGCGGACGGCGGTCGATCTGAGCTCAATCCGGGCGGGGCTTCATATGGGAACAGGGTGAGTTGCGGACGTACAAAGTGTGTCGGTGATAAACAGCTGATTGTATGAATAGTTACTGTGATGCTCAATGCTTCGTTACTCCATGGGTCGAGGGTGTTGTAAGTCCATGGCACATCCTTCTCTGACTACTCCTAATTCTTCTCAGGGTAATATCGCGGGAGATGGCGTTTGCTGTAACGAGATGGACATCTGGGAGGCCAACCGTCGCTCCAACCAGATTGCACCCCACACTTGCTCCAAAGAGAGTCTTTTCACATGTAAGGGTGATGAATGCGGGCCAACAGCCGCTGGTGTGTGCGACAAAAATGGCTGTGGTGACAACCCCTACCTACACAGGAACGACAAGACATTCTACGGTCCTGGGCTTAAAGTCGATACTACAAAACCGTTCAGCGTCGTCACTCAGTTCCCTGCCAAAGATGGTGTGCTACAAGCCATCGTGCGCAAATACGTGCAGAACGGCGTTGTTACCGAAAATACTTCCGTCAACATTACCATGGACCAATCCTTCTGCGACGCCCAGGGCGGTACTTCACAGTTCAATGCTCTTGGTGGCCTCAAGGGCATGGGTGATGCTCTCTCTCGTGGTATGGTCCTTGCACTTTCAGTCTGGTGGGACCAAAGTGGGTTCATGAAATGGCTTGACGCTGGTAATTCAGGTCCTTGCAACGCGACTGAAGGAGATCCAAAGGTCATTCAGCAGATCGAGAAATCGCCCACTGTTACCTTCAGCCAGATAAAGTGGGGAGAAATTGGCTCAACCTTCGGGGCTGCAAACAACGGAACCATGTACAAGTGGAGGGCCTAGGGCTTCTTATTACAAATGATTGTATATAGTGTGGATATTACTCATGTAGATACCAAATACTTTAGCCACATCATGACAGCTTCGTTCCAATATCATGGCTGCCTCGCCGTCACTTCAAGTCTGTATGTAAGGTCCGGGAACACTCGAGGCTTATCTGTCACCACCTAAGCGACAAACAATGTAGGTACAGTTTACAATCTTATCTGGTGTATTAACCATACCGGACGTTTCATCTTGTGGTTCGATGCTGATGACATCTTATGAAGCTTATGTCTCTTCCAATAACTCTAATGTGTTGCTGTACTATCTGTGGTAATGAACAGGTATAAAAACCCAACCAAGCAGATTTAGGCCCGCTTGTATAATTTATTCAAGTGGTGTCACAGCAGATGACAATGTCTGCATGTGAGAAATACTGACGCTGCGATAAAGTGGAGATGAGGTTGAGTATGCTTGAAGGGTCAGCTGTTTGCGCTTGCACTTTCGCACACCTGGGCAGCCTCTGGCGACAACAACTGCGATTTTGGAAGCGTACAGTCACCGGACCGCCCAAAGTGCCGACTGTTTGGCGCTATCCCACTTCCTTTTTGCAAAGGTAGTTCCCACAGCGAGCTCTCGTGCAAGATTCCAGGTACGTGCGCTAAGTGCTTGATATATCACATCAGCACGGGTAATTGCTCAATCCTATCGTAACTTGAATACATACAGCCTCAAATTACGTCGAAAATCGTACTGATTCACCATCTCAAGTCCTCATACACTATTAGAAAAGACTACCGTTGTTCAGATGGAAGCTTCAGTGGAGGATATCGGCCCCAAGACGAAGTATGTAACATGGGTTCGTATTCTGAAGTCTCCGTTGTATCCTCTAGTCTTGCGATGTAAAATATTATCGTTTTTGTAATAGTATCCCTGGGTCTTTTTCAATAGTGTATCAAAGTTCAATTACTGGCTGCTACTATCGCTGGGCATTACAGATACCTACCGTACACCGACTGACGGTTCTCAGCATTGTCCACGAACATGGAGGCAGCGCTTCCTCAGATAATTGGGGATCCCCACACGAGCTAGCCAGCCGCCACGTGCAAGGCGGTGAGAGAAATCAAGGTCAAACGAAGACCGCGAACCGGGTCGATCAGTTCTCTCACTCACTCCCCGCTTCAGTGCAAAGTAGTAAGTCCAGGACTCTGATAACCACAGTATACGCTTACTGTTTCTCTCTCTCTCCTCACAGCAAGCAACAACTCTCCACCATCCGCATCAAACAGTGCCAGCAGCAACTCCCCTCGTGACCGACACGAATCACCTGGACTATTTGTGTCTGAAGAAGAGGACGTCGAAATCACCTAAACCAACAAAAAGACCAAGCTGAACCGTAACAACGACATCTTGCGCAAGCTGCCTGAAATGGACTGCCTCAAGCGTGCCCGCGACATCAAAGAGACTATCAAGGACAACATCGCGGTGCTGCAGCCCGTCGGGAAGACAACAGGAGGCCGCCGTCAGGCCGAGGAAGATCCAGAAAACCAGCTCATCAAGAACCTTCGCCAGGAAGAAAACATGAAATGGTGCGACATTGCCAACTTGCTGAACGAAGAACGCCGTCAACGCGGCGAGGCCGCTAGCTTCACTGAAGCTGCTGTCTACAGCCGTTTCGTGCGCAATGCTCCGCGCATCGCTACTGCTGTAGGTGAGATCGGCTTCGATCCCAAAGACTACATGCACCTACGTCATCCAAACCAGTACAGTACCGCTCAGGGTACAGAGGCCAGCAGCAAGGTCGGCAAGAAGCGTGTCAAGAACTACGAAAATGCGAAGGAGCTCGAGGCCAACATGCGCAAGGAGATCAAGGAGGACGAGCATGAGGATTTGGAGATGGTCGAGAGGACAGAACAGCTCATGGATGCCGTAGCCAAAGTCGAGCGCAACTTCTGGATCCTGGTTGCTGATGAAATGGAGCGCGCAACAACTAAACTCTACCCGCCGAATGCACTAGCAAGCCGCTATCATTCAGTCTAGAAATTAAGCACTTGTCATGATTTTAGACGACTAGCTAGTAACTATTATCACATGTCTTTACGGTTCTGCAGTATCAAGATGCTTGCACATAATTTGTATTCAATTTTTGACGAGTCTTGATTTGGTGGCAGCAAGCTCAGCTTAGGCGGCGAGCTGGGCGTGTTGTCTCTAAGATGCTTGTTGCGAGGAAAAGAGCAATCAGGCTAGGCTGGTGAATTATGATTCTAATCTATATACGGAACTGATCATAAAAATCGCGCGGGGTAGGGCAAGAATCATTGTTGTAGCAGTCTACACATGCAGCAAATTTCAGGTCTTGGCGTGTTCCCATCAGCTAACGCCGTGACAGCTGGGATGATAATAGAGTACCATTAAGGTCTTTGGCAGGTTGAATAGCTGTTATCAGTAGGATGTCGGAGACAAACTAGCCTTTTGGAAGTGCAGCAGGCCTCTAGCCCGGCGCTGCAACGACCTATAACTTGTTAGCAATTGTTATGGTTAATTCCTGATATAGCATATAGGACCAAGGCCTTCGCAGCCTTGCTGAGCATTAGCACTTATAGCAAAAACTATAGTGATAGCAAAGAGTTAGAAAAGAAGTTGCATCTTTATCTAGTTAGTAATAGTTGTTAGAAAGTAAGAGTTAAACTTAGAATAGATAGTGTTATAACGTATCTTATAGATTAGCTAGATATATATTTAGCTAAATACTTTTGCTAAGCCTCTACTAAATTCTATCTCTTAATACAATGCCTTAATAATAGTACTAGATAGACTCTTCTAATAAATATTAGATATAGACTACTCTTTAAGCTCTTAAATAAGATATAATACTATCTTTATAACATACTATAGTGTTACGAACTTTAAAACGCATAGCCTTAGGTAATAGCAGCTAAGTAACTGCTTTAAAGTATTATAGCTAATAATAATGCTAACTACTAATAGTTAGCATCTCTATAGATATAAGATAACTATACTATATAACTATATATAATAGCTATGCTAAGAACTATTACTAGCTATATATATAACTATTACTCTAGATAGAAGTATATAATAGCTTACTTAGAAACTATTAATAGATATAGTAGAAACTATTATAACTATTATATATAGTGTAAGGTAGACTGCAGGCATAGAAGGCTTAGGTTAATGAGAAGTACTTATATTTAACTAAAGGTAGAATAGTAAACAAAGAGTCTACTAAGAGAAGAGAGTAGCTAGCTATATATATTATAAGGCGTGCAAGCGCTAGGCTAGCGTATACGCTAGCCTAGAGTAGACTAGCTAAAGTAAAAGAAAAGAGAAGAGAAAGCTAGAGTAAGTAAAGTATACTAGAGTATAGGTAGTAAGTTAGAGAGTAGATAGTAAGTTAAGTAGAGATGCTTTACTTATATATAAACCTCTCTAGTATCTCTTATATATGCCTCTTCTAAACCTAGTAAGGTCTCTTAAGCTATAAAGAAAGCTAAAAGAGCCTAGAAAGTATTACTAAGCTTAGCTAGAGGTAGCTAGAGCTTAGTAGAGAGTAAAGAAAAACTTTAGTAAGTTTCTTTAGTTTAGCTATATAAGTAGAACTTAGCAAATATAGATTTATAGTTTTAGTATAGCTGCGTAAGTTACGTAAGTTTTATACTAAATTTGCTTTACCTCTATAATCTTTTCTACCTTACTTACTCTATGCTACGAAAATTAAGCTTAAAACTATTTAGAAAATATCTAAGAGAGTAAGTTTTTCTAGGAATATTTTAGACGCTTACGCTATAACCTCTACTGCTAGCTAGGTATTTAGAGTGCTTTAGTATAAGCCTAGTTTTAGTAGTAATAACGCTAGCTTAACTAAAGTAAAAGATTTTAAGCACGCGCGTTTATAAAGTTTAGTAAGTATAAGCGCTTTAGCATAAGCTTATTAAAATTAGATTTAGCGCAGTATAGCAAAGTAAAGGCTAATATAAGCATAAAGTTTTGCCTCTTGCTAGAGCCTATTATAGGTACTCTTAGTAGCTAGTAATATAAAAATTGCTTTTTTTAGAAGTAAGAAGAGAAAGTAAAAGAAAGTAAAGTAAAGTATACTAATATTCTAGAGCTGCTGCTAGCAGCTAAGCCTTAGAATATAATTAGAAAATATAGCAGACTAAAAGATAGATATTATTAAGCTAAGATAATATAGCTCTATAGAGATAGCTTCTTAAGAGAAGTAGTAGAAGTGTAGTAATAACGCTATCTACTATTATCTAAGCCTTTTATAAAGTTTCTATCTATCTTTATTGCTAGGTTCTCTTAGCTAGCTTACTATTAACTCTTAGTCTTCTAGGTAAGGCTACTAGTTATAAGGAAAATAAAAGTAAAGTAGCTTTAGCTTCTTAGAGTATTTATAGTAGTAGAGAAAGGCGTCGTAATTTTTACTAAACTTAGCAGCTAGTTTCTAAGTAAGAAGTAGATTATTAGTCTATTTAATATAATAATACTACTAGCCTTTATATAAAGCAGATTTCTGCTATTTATAATCTACTACTATATTAATATACTATTTAGAGTGTTCGCTATTATTAGAGTTAACAATAGAAATTTCTTTAGGCTATAGAAGTGCTTAGTTAGATAGTAGTTTAGTATCTGCTAGCTGCAGGAGCTGCAGGTAGAATACTAGAAAGATACTATATTAGATTATCTCTTCTAGTAAGTCTAGGTAGTATGCCTAGCTATTATAGATTATGCAGGTTACTATATATAAGCCTGTCTATTAATTCTTAAATTTCTTAGTAGATTATAATATTAACTAGTTAGCTATACTTAGCTATACTTAATCTCTAATTTTATAGGCTAGCTTACTATAGCGTAAGATGTTAGCGTAGGCTTACTGCTCCTATTATACCTAATAAATCTATTCTTTTAAGTGCACTACTAAGTTAGCATTAGCATTTATTAGTTTATTAGCCTATATCTATTAACTTTAAAGCTGCTTACTAAGCTTAGCTATAGCTTCTTTGCTAAGGTAAATTCTGCTGCAAGAGTAATAGCCTAAATCTGCTATAAATAGTGTTATACTAATAGAGACGTTAACTATATCGTTAGCTTAAAATTTAGCAATATGTAGAAATAACGCTTAATTATCCTAGGTAAAGTTAATAAATTATTAAAGGTATATTTCTAAGAACTAATTATATTGCTCTGTCTAGCTATCTATCTCTAGGTAGTAGCTAGTAGATAGTTTCTGCTTAATCTTAAGCCTAGCATAGATATGTTTCTAGAATTTGCATATAAATATAGTACTATAATCTAAGATAATATTAAGAGGCAGCCTATAATTCTTAAATACTTCTATAAAGTACTATACTGCTTTAATAGAGTTATAGGTAATAGTTAGAAAGAAATAGCACTGCTTAGTTAATTAGCAGCTAATAATAAGAATATTGCAATATTAGAAACTTAGGTACTAGCTAGGTAGAAGGTCTTAAATATAGTTAACTAAAAGATCTATCTATTAAGCGTTTAAGATAAGTAGTAATTATAAATAGCTATACTTTCTATTATAAGAGAACTTTATCTAGAAGCAAACTCTATAGGTAGTGTAGAATTTCTTAATTAACTAAGCTATCTTTAGCTAGTAGTACCTCTTAAATATAAGGTAAAAGGTACTGCGTAGTCTTTTATAGCTTATAATTTTATAGTTATAGCAGAGTTTAAATATTTAGCACTAGAGGTAGGCATTTAGAAGAATATATAGCTATATCTAGTTAATAAATAAGCAGCGTTTAGAACTCTTGCCTAAAGAAGTAATATTAGCCTATAAGAAGAAGTAGCCTTTCTTATAGAATAAATTAAGTAGCTTTATAGCACTGCTATTAATTACTATAAAGGCTGCTAGCGTAATAGAGTCGTCTTTATAAGCTACGTTAAGTAGTTCTATAGTAGAATAGGTATCTTTATTATAAGAGAGAAGGCTAGAATCTACTATGCTATTAATCTAGTCTTACGCTAGCTTATCTTTAAACTTCTTAGAGTCTAAGTTATTATAGTCTAAGGCTATAAGGCAGAATTTAAGTACTTAGCGTTATTCTAGTAAAACTTAGTCTAGTTTCTTATAGTAGGAAGTGCTTATAGCTTAAAGTACTATCTAGATTACTAGTTATATACCTAGCGCTAGTACCTTAGAGCTAAGGATAATTATATTATTATTAGTAATATGCTTATCTATAGCGTCTTCTAGGCACGTTCTAAGGCTATTAGCTAAGAGTATTAGCTTTAACGTTAGTATTTTCTAGTACGTAGATAATTTTAAAATTAAATTATAATAAGAATAGAGACTAGTAAGCTTATCTGCAGTTTAGCTTCTTTATAGCTATAAATATTTTTAGGTTTTAGTAGTCTATAATAACGCTAATTTAGTAAGGCGTTCTAATTAACTCTAGTTCCTATTCTTTAAATGCGCAAATAATTCTTATAAGCTCTAAGTTATAAATGTTATAATTATACTTAGCTAAGAAGTATTTCTTAGAGAAGAAGCTAATTAGTTACTAGTCTCTATTATTATTTTTCTATTTTATAATGCTATCTATAGCCTAGGCAGAGGCATCTATATAGACTCTAACTAGTTTCTCTAGGTTAAAGTGTTACAGCATAATATCTAGCTAAAAGGCGTCTTATAGCGCCTTAAACGCTTATTAGTATTTATTAGTAACTTTAAACTTTTTATAGCAGGTCTTATAGATAACTAGCTTAGTAGAGTTCTTAGAAAGCTGTTTCTTAATATAGGCTTTAATAAGTTTCGTAAGAGGTAGAGCAATAGTAGAGTAGTTTTTAATAAAGCGTTAGTAGAACTTTATATAGCTAAGAAATGCTAGTATCTTAGTAGTAGTAGTTAGTATACGCTACTTATTAATAGCTATAATCTTATCTAGATCTATTTTAACTTCTACGTTAGTAACAAATATATCTAGAAACTTAACTTTTATCTAGTATAGTTTAGTTTTCTTAGAGTCTATATAGAACTCTTATAC